GTGTGGTGGCATGTGTGAAGAGGCGGCACGCGTCTCCGGGGTGTGGCCCCCCTCATGAACGGCGCCGCCGCCGGCACCTGGAATCCACTGGTCAAAGCCCGTCCGTGGAAAGTCCAAGGGCTAGATCTCGTGTTCAACCGCTACAGATTAGGCGGCACGAGGGCCCTGGGGGTAGCAATGCCACCGGAGCGTCGCACCGGGCCCTCACACATGCCGTAAGTTTTGGTGGTATGCCTGAAGAGGCGGCAAGCGTCTCCGGGGTGTGGCCCCCCTCACGGACGGCCCCGCCGCCGACACCTAGAAGTGGGGACGGCCACCAGAGCTTCGTGGGTTCTAGTAGAGATGACAAACAAAAAAATAGAATTACTTGAATTTATAGAAAACACCGGCATTTATCATGGAAAATGGACTCTCACTCTGAAATCTTCAGTGCCCGGTAACCGGGCCGGTGCCCGGGCACCGAAAATTTCACAGTAATTGTCCATTTTCTTAACGAATGTCTAATGAACACCGGAGCTTGCTTAGTATGGATTAGCCAACTATTTAAACTACTCATATTGCTTGTGTTTGGGCTAGGTGGGACTAATCCTGAAAAAGTTGAAACTCTAACTATGCCGACAGCAAAGCCGTCGGCATAGGTTGCCACGTGGCGTCGTAACCTATGTCGACGGCTAAGCCGTCAACATAGATGGCCTTATCCACTCGGTGGCGAGCCAAGGCCACTCATTCTCCATTCTCCTCGTCTCTCCCCGCGCCGCTCCCCACCCGCCACCACCCGCGCCACTCCTTGTCGCCCGCCGGCCGCTCCACCCGCACCCCTCCCCTTACCTCGCCCCTTCCCGCCTCCACCCCGACGCTCTCCACCCCCTCCTCGCGCCGCCGCCATTGCCACGTCGACTCCGCGTCGCCGCGGCCTCCACCACTGGTATGCGTCGGTGCTATACAAACGGTTTAAAACCCCTTTCCGCGACGGCATTTGGAACCGTCGCCAGGTGAGTGTGGGAGATAGGGGGTCCTTCCCACACGACCCAGAAACCGTCGGGGATAGGCCCTCCTGGCACATCGTGTGCGATCGGGCGAGGCACGGAAACCCAATTGTTTCCGTTCGTATGTACATCCCACAAGGTGAATCCCAGAAAAACATTTCCGTTCATATGTATATCACATACAGTCAATCCAAGGAGTACGTTTCCGTTCTTATGTACATCCCAAATGATTAGGCCGCTATAGTCGTGTGAAAAAGGTGGACATCAACATTTAATCTGCCGATATATTTGTGATAGGTACGTTATCGCACACAGTTAAAGAATGTAAAATGTGTGCGGTGCCTGTACTAAAGCCAACGTGTACATTTTTGTAACTGTGTGTGATTGGTATTCCTATCACACACGCACACTGGTTTGAAATGTTTGCCGTATTACCATGAGTTGCACATGCATATAAGACGAAATCGTGTGTGCATCCGAAGGGCATCGCAAACGTTTCACGTCAAAGAACCGTCTGTTTTCTTTTTTCGTCGCACACGTTGTTTTCTTTCTAACCATGTGCACATTATTTTATTCGCTCTTGTAGAATTTTTTTTGGCTGTAATTTATTATTTGAATTGAAAATTTTGAAATATGAAACATGCAATTCAAATTCTTAGCACAATGGTTCAACAACAAATCCATAAATAAAATTGTCAGTACAATATGTTCAGTAATTACAGGATTAGACAACACTTAACTATGATGAACCACAATATTTACAGGCGGTAAAGGTGAAGAGACAAGTATAAATCATTTTGACTGCCGATGTTGTTGAAGAAGCGGAATGCCCATAATGTGCCTTCCTGCATGCCATAGGCATGAACAACTTTTGTCCAACCCCTTATGACAACCGCCCGCTCATCCTTCACCGCCTTCAGGAAGACTTCTAGAGAATTATCATGGTAGCATGAATTATATACTTTAACCTTAGTTGCCTCCAGTCTGGTCATGTAGTTTGCAAGGTAATCATCAGTAAATAGCTTCGGAAACCACTGAAAAGAGAAAAATATCAGATCATGAGGTCTAATAGAGTAACCAGTAAATGTTAGAAGCAACCACTGAATGTTAAAAGCAAAATGAGATTGCACAAATGATGTAAAATACAACTACCTACATTCCTAAGTACAAGTATTTTTAGAGATTTCAATATGAACTACATACGGATGTATATAGAATTATAAATATAGTTTAGATTAGAATTTAGATTCACTCATTTTGCTCCTTATGTAGTCTATATTGGAATCTCTAAAAATACTTAAATTTAG